CAAGGAACAAATGTTACCGTGCACCTTAAAAAATAAAAATGAAGATATTACTTTATTACTAAACTTAAAAGCTTTTATTGAATCCTAGTTTACTAAAAATTCGATTTCGATTTCAGTAAGCTAACTAGCTTACTGAAATCAAAAATGTGCCAAAATCAATGATATATATTAACTAGATGTCTAACTTCCGAAAAAAAAGTGACGCACATTTTTTTTGCCAACCAGCATATGTTTAGCTAATAACTTGTTTTGCCAATCAACATCTAATTGGTTAACAGATATTACGGAAAGACGAAAAGCAAAAATAAAATCAAAACAAAAAATATTTGTGTCAGTTAAATTAGAAAATAGGTTTAAAAGTTAGTCTGGTTGGAATGATTTTGTGAGATGTTTTAGTATTGGATGATTTTCTAAATGTAGGCTAAAAATAACGTCAGTTACCTTTAATTTGCTACTTTTTTTTTTTTTTTTAGTTTATTTTTTTGTCAAGCAACCATTTACAATTAGAGGTAATTTCCGATAAAATATTTTAAAATATTAAATACAAGTACATTTCATTATTTATAATAGTTACGAGACCGGAGAACCTGAAGAAGATAAAATCTTATGATCAGTAACCTTTGATAATAAAAATTGGAAATAAAAGTGTATTGTTAGAAAAAATCATGTAAAGAATCTTGATTGGCAATAAGTTCAATTATGTTTAAATATTAGGTAATTTTAGTTTCAAGAAAAAAGATTTTAAACCTTATAATATTATAAGTATATATATTTTAAATATTTACATTTTTATACTGAGACATAAAATTTATTTAGGCTAGTTCCAGATTATATCATATATAATATAATGTAAATAAATATATATATATATATATATATATATATATATATATATATATATATATATATATATATATATATATATATATATATATATATATATATATATATATATATATATATATATAAATTTTAATAAAAATCACAATATTTTTTATTCTTGACATGTTTCGTAGTCTTACTACATTTTCAAAAGATTTAATTTACAATTAAAACTCTGGTAAATAATCTTAAAAACTAAAGACTATTGTCTTCAGTTATAAGACTTTTGTCTTCAGTTATAAGACTAATGTCTTCAGTTTTAAGACTATTGTCTTCAGAGAAAAAATTAACGGACAAATAAACTTGTTACAAACCAATTAAAAATTATATTACAAATTATGACAAAAAAAACTTCCTAATACTAAAATATAAATAATAATAATAATAAAGTAAGTTAGATAAATTTATAATATAATGAAATGTTTGTTTATTTAAAGAAGGATTTTCCCATTTAATATGAAGTGCTTCATCCAAATATGATAATATGGATGAAGGATTCATCCCATTTAATATGAAGTGTTAAATCCAGTTCATGGGTCTTTTACAAAGTTTCTTTAGTTTTGTCCCTTCATGTTACAAAGCTGGTCTTTTACGCTGCTTGATTGATCGAACATATAAAATTAACAACACGTGGTTTGGATTTGATAAAGATATAAAAAATCTTTCTTTAGTTTTAAAAAATAATCAATTTCCGCATAAAGTTATCGACACTGAAATTATATATATATATATATATATATATATATATATATATATATATATATATATATATATATATATATATATATATATATATATATATATATATATATATATATATATATATATACAGGGGCGGATGCAGGATTTTTTGAAGTTTGAGATAACTAATTTCCAGACCTGGAGCGAACTCAAAACTTTTATATGTTTATAGTTATATCAAATAAGGATACTTTTCAAAAAATTGAGATGATAGGAGCCTGGGAACAAAAAAAGCCCCGAAATTTTTGCTACATCTGCCCTAAACGTGAGAGCAACAAGTTGATAAAATAATTTTTTTACTTTTCTCAACTAAATCTATATTTATTGAAAAATTTTAAAATTCATACAATAATCTCTTAGCGTTTAAAAGTTATGGCCACATAAAGTTTGAGTCCCCCTCATTTTGAGGGGGTTACAAATTTATAAGACCATTATTATTGAACGCTAAAAGATTGTTTTACAAAATTCAAAATTTCTCGATGAATATCGATTTAGTTGAGAAAAGTAAAAAAATTATTTTATCAACTTGTTGCTGTCATGTTAGGAGCAGGTGTAGCAAAAATTTTGGGGCTTTTTTGTTCCCAGGCTCCTATCATCTCAATTTTTTGCAAAGTATCCTTATTTGATATAATTATAAACATATAAAAGTTTTGAGTTCGCTCCATGTCTGGAAGTTAGTTATCTCAAACTTCAAAAAATCCTGTATCCGCCCCTGATATATATATATATATATTATATATATATATATATATATATATATATATATATATATTAGAGATGAACCGATTCCGATTCCACCGATTCTCAAGGAATCGTAAGAATCGCGATTCTCTGCTTTTTTAACAATTCCGATTTTTTCTAAAATGACTTTTTAATGAATTCACTTCTTTTATTAATACTTCTTTGATCATTGAAATAAAATAAACACTCTTTGCCGTTAATACTCTCTTGATAATTGAAAAAAATATACACTCTTTACCGTTGTGATTTTCTTTTGTTTAATTTGTTCTAAATTTTAACTTCTGCGCTTCAAATTATTGTTGAAGTTGAGTAAACTGTGAAGGAAACCCTTAACAAAAGTAAACATTGCAAATACGCAAAATACTTTCAAAAAAGTTCAATTGAAATTTGAACCGGTGATAAGTACTATTATAATAATTTTATTTGCTTGTTTAATTATAAATGTTAATGTTTGTATTATTATTTTTTATTGTTATAAATGCTGTTTTTATTTTAGAATATTTTATTATTATTATGTAAAAACGTAAGACAAACGAGGTATGGGACTATTTTGCAATAAATTTAAATGACACTAACTCTGCAATATGCAGCTTTTGCAAAACAGTTATATCCAGAGGTGGTGGCAGAATTTCTCAGTCATACACAACATCGAACATGTTAAAGCATTTAAATACTTTTCATAAATCTGATATCAAAAATCAGAAACAAGATAAAGCTAGAATTATCGATTTTGGTATATGCGCGGACAGCTCTACTGCAGGACCACTTTTTAAATCCAATTCTAACTCTGCCTGTGATACTCCTACGACCATGCCAAGAGACCCTCGATCCTCTACACTCACATCCGTATTTACAAGTCTCGGCCCTAAGTCTGAGGAGGTGGAAATCGATACTAGAAGCTCTTCTTCTACACTTAGTTCTTTAAAAATAAAGCCTAGATCTTCATCTTCTAAACAACCAACAATACAACAAGTGCTTGCAAAGACCAGGCCTCTCACATCTACAGATCCGAAGGCAATAAAGATTACAAGGCTTATTGCGGAAATGATATGCACAGATAACCAACCTGTTAGTATAGTAGAAAATCCTGGTTTCAAAAGGTTACTACAGTTTTTAGAGCCAAGATATACAATACCAAGCAGAAAATACTTCTCAACTATTGAAATTCCTAACATTTATCAGAAGGTATCAAGTAAAATTCGTTTCTTGGCAGAGAAAGCTGATTATGTTAGTATAACTACCGACATGTGGAGCTCCACAGCCGATGTTGATTACATGAGCTTAACAGCACATTTCCTGACAAAAGATATGAAACAAATTCATATTTGTCTTGACGTGGTACCTTTTCCTTACGAGTCCCACACTGCAGACAATCTTGTTAAATTTATTAATGAATCACTTGAGCGTTGGGGACTACTTGAAAAACTTAATGTAGTAGTAAGAGATAATGCCAGAAATATTGTCTCTGCTATGGAAGTAGGGAAGTTTTCAAGCATTCCTTGTCTTGCTCATACATAGTACTGTAGAATTTGGCCAAAAAATAGCGAAACCTAGAAAAAATTTTTATAGAGACATATTATATATCATTAGAAAGATAATTTTATCTGCTTTCTAATGGTGTACCTTGTCACTTTTTTGGAATTGAGCAAAAAAAAAATGGTGGATCAAAATCTAAATGTAGGTTTTTTCATTTTATTTAAAAAATTAACTAAATATAAAACAGTGTTCTTCGATATCATAGCTTCATTATTAAAAAAAGTTCAATTGCCATCATGTTATTGAATGACTGAACAAAAGGAATTAAATATTTCTAAAAGCTTAAGTATTCATTTTATTATAAAAATGAGCTTCTCTTTGAAGTCGTAGCTATTATTTAAAAATTACTTATATTTTCATTGTGTTTGAAACAGCTGTGAATAAAATATTGAATTAGATATAAAAAAAAACATTTTGTATAGTTGACTGTCTTTTTATTTAAAGATAAGATAATAATGGAAGATGAAATTGAAACTGATATATCAAACGGAATAACGTTATGTGTTAAATGCGGAGAAGGTGTAAGAATGCATGATCCTTTAAATCATGTAGGTTTAAAGTATTCTGATTCAAGCAAGAAAAAACATCCCCTGACTGCAATTATAGAGCATGCTATGAAGCTTAATTTAGATACTTTAGTTGATAAGCTCAAACTGAACAAAAGAACAAAAGCAAACACTTATATCCATTTATCATGTAGAAATTTTTTAAAAAATCTCTCTCGAAAAAGATCAATGAAAATCGAGACAGAGCGTATTACTAGAGCTAAAATAGAACTATTTGATTCAAAACACAGTGGCGGTGATTGTATCTATGACAGAAAAAATCCAAATCGCAACAATTTTGAAGAAGTACGTACAAAAATAGGAGCCATATATTCTTCCACCATCGAAATATGTCGCAATAGAGAAGATCAACTTGCTAAAACTGTAGAAGCACGTTTAATCAGTGTGAATGATCTAGTAGCAGCAGAAGGCAGATACCACGTATCATGTAGAGCCAGCTTCGAGAACCCTTTACCAAAATATTTAACATCTGGACGTCCTACTTGCAGTAACAAAATGACATCATTCAATACTATATGTGAATCGTTAGAAAGGGACATAGTTGTACACGTTGTCAGAATTTCATTCGAAAATGATGTCAATCAGTGATGACGTTTATTCAATAAAAATGACCAAAATGAAATTAAAGGAAGTGTACGGTGAGTCTTTACGCTTTGTCAAAAGAGAAGGCAGAAGCAATATAATTCTATTGGACAGTGTTAGAGACATTTTATGTGAAAAATGGTACCAAGAAAAAAGCACAAATGTAAACGAGGAGAGAGAGCGTGTTGTTATAACAGCTGCAAAACTTTTGAAAAATGCCATAAAGAATCATGACCACAATTCAAACGTATATCCTTCCAAAGAGGACATCCTAAACATTGAAGGAACCCATATACCTCAATTATTAAAAGCATTTGTTAATGAACTAGTTCAGGCACCTTTAAAACAGGTTTCAATATCACAAGTCTTATTTTCTGGAACACGTCCCAGGTCTATTATGCCATTACAGTTTGGACTAAGCGTTGCTGTCGATAACCGTCTTTCATCAAAATGGCTGAACATACTGCTATCAAAATTAGGATTTGGTATTAGTTATGACGAGGTATGTTTCATTTTATTAAGTATATTTTATCAGAATTCCCAGAATCCGAACAATACCGATGTTTATGTAATTTTTTAAAGGTTATCCGTTACAAACAGAATGTTGTAAAGCATGATACTATCGACGAAATCATTTCTGGAGAGGGAACCTCATTTCTTCAATTTGTAGCTGATAACACAGACTATGACATTGCTACTGTTGATGGAAAAAATACGCACCATGGACTTGGGTCAATTGCAATTGCAAATGGAAAATTCACAGACGTTTCGTTTAAAAGGAATAAAATTCCTAGAGATAAAAAAGAACTATGGTCAAATAACAAGTCAAACGATGGGATAATGATTAGGCAGTACTACATACCTGACATACCTTCATTAACAAAAACAATATTCAAACCAGTCATTCAGGTTTGTTATGCATATTACAATTTAAAAAAGTATTTGCTTCTACCAAATTTGAAAACTAATTGTTTTATTTAATTTTAGGAAAAAATTCAAGCTCGTTTTATTGATCTTCTATGGAACATTGGCTACCTTTTCAAAAATCCATGCCCAAGTGGGCCTGGCTACATGAGTTCTGCAACAAATAATATTGTAAAACATAAATCTAACATTGCTATACTACCTGTGATTGATTTACACGCTACTAATTTGACAGCCCTATATTCACTACTTTGCTTCATCATTGATCACTCCAAAAAAGTGAATATTACAATGCCATCCATAAAATTTGATCAGCAGCTTTACATAAAAGCATACGAAATAGTCACTACAAAAAACTTAAATATATTTGTTCGTCTCGGAGGTTTCCATCAACTTGAGTTTTCTAGGTTCAACTAAATGTATGATGGAAGGAAGTGGTTTGAGAAGCGCTCTTGAAACAGTCTATGCCCCGTTAACAGTAGGACACATGCAATCAGGAAAAGCATTTTCACGTGCTATACGAGGCCATTTTTTATGTGCATCAGCAATAAATTCACTGATATTAAAGGATTTTTGGGACAACTTGAATGATAGTGAGCAAAAAAATATTTTAGAAATGTATGATTCAGAAGACCTTTGTGTTCAAGAAAATGATGATCTGGCGGTTAGATTGCTAAACTGGTTTACAGAGAAGAAAGATTATCTTTCATTAAACTCACGAACATCATCTTTATTGTTGCATTATGTACAATACGTAACTGTGGTCCAAGAGTTTATTAGAGCAGAGAGAACAAGTAACTGGTCATTACATATTTCTGCAACAAAGTGCATGCTCAATCTTTTTGCTGCAACAGGGCACAATAACTATGCAAAAACATGCAGGCTTTACCTTCAGACCATTGATGCCTTACAAATAGAACATCCTCTAATTTACGCACAATACATGGCAGGTAATCACACTGTTAGAAGAACCGAAAAAAAATGGTCAGGGATATGGACTGATCTCGCAATTGAACAAACTCTGATGAAGTCACTGAAAGGTAGAGGTGGAGTTATTGGTAAAGGCACGACTGAAATTGTGATACGATGAGCACTCTAATATCTCCGCATAAATCTGTTGACAAACATAAAGAAATGTATCCTGGAAGAATGAAACGTGATAGTGATGACTTTAAAAAAATACAATCATGGTTTTTTGCTTATAACCCTTTCATGAACGGAGATCAACTTGTTAGTTTGGACTCTGGTTTAATGGATAATCAGAAAATTATTGCCTGTGATCGATCAGAAGAGATAGGAGCATCAATACACAAAGAGCTAAATGGTAAAACCTACACAAATTACTCTTTCAAACAAAAAAATCAAATAACAACACTCCAGAGCTTATACTCCTGCGTATCTATTTAAGACGAAATTGTTACAATCGACCCATTAACACTTTTTCTAAGATTGATTGTTGTTGTTAAAAGAAAGCCAGAGAATGAAGTGGAGAGTTACTTTCAATATGAGTTATCACCATATCCAACATCCTTATTTAAAGGAGGTGTCATGAGATCCGCAAAAAAGTCAACATTGAAAACATTCATACTCAATAATGTATCACCAGTAAAAGAACCTGTATCAACCAAGATTGCTGATGGGGGCGCATTATTGTGGTGCTGCACAATAATGCGCAGCACCACAAAAAATGAGTTATTTAGTGAAATTTATCAAAAATACATTAATTTTGCTCAACACTTACAGCTTGACAGGATCATTTTTGATGGTTACCAGGCGTCCACTAAAGATAGTATCCACAAAAAGCGACCTGATAAGATATCATAAACAGTTGAAATCAATGATCTCAATCCATGCCCAGCAGAAAGAAGTATTTTCCTAAGTAATTACAAAAACAAAAATGATTTTGTCAGACTTTTAGCATTGAAGTTGCAAAACAATGGTTTTAAAGTTATTTGTTGTCCCAGTGATGCAGACACAAGTATTGTTAAGCTAGCACTTGAGATTAACAACGTTGAGTCAGTCACAATTTATTCGGATGACACTGATATTTTATGTCTATTAATACATACTGGAGCACAACCTCAAAGCATTTTTTTTAAAAACGTTGACACAAAATAAGGCTACAGATCAAAGAGTATGTTATAAAATTCAGAATGTTGTAAATACAAGTGATGATACTCTTTTAAATTATGTATTATTTGCACACGCATTCACTGGGTGTGACACAACATCAGCTATCCATAACTTCGGCAAAACCACAATTTTTACGAAGTTAAAAAATTCAAATGAATTGAAATCTACTGCAGATCTATTTTATCAGGAAAACATTTCTACAGATGATATTGGCAAGGGAGCTATTCGTTTTTTTGAGCTGCTTCATTCACCTTGTTTCAATCTACCACAGATCAGGAAACATAAATATGATGAAATGGTGGCATCTGATCGTGCAAGTATTGATCCTGCTCTATTACCACCATCATCAAGAGCTGCATATTATCATGGACTTAGAGTTTATCACCAAATGAAAGTATGGAGAAATTTGAGTGACGTTGATTCAGATCTATTGAGTTGGGGATGGGTAATACAAAATCAAATGTATGCACTAATTATGACAGATATAGAAGCAGGTCCTCAAGATATTTTGAACATTATCAGATGTAGCTGTAAAGGTTCGTGTGGAAATAAATGTACTTGTCGAAAAGCTGGATTAAATTGTACATCATCTTGTAAAGAGTGCCTTGGCGTAACATGCACTAACAGTAATATTAATATTCCAGAAGAAGACATTAAAGAGGAAGAAAGACATTTTCTAGATGCTTTTGAGATATGAAAGATTATTTTTATATTAAAAATGTATTTATATATAATTTAAAAAATAGATATGGTGTCTGATTATTTTGTATTTTCTTATAAATATTGGGTTATTTGAATGAGGATCGCTGTAAATCGGGGGTGGGGGTGGGGGTGGGTGGGTGGGTGGGGGAAAGCGTCCTAGAAAATATTTTTTTTCAAATTTTAAAAATTAGGCATAAAATGTAATATAAATTATAAATATATATAAAATAAACATTTTTCCTTCTTGCCCTGGTAAATACCGGCGTCGCAATCCGTGTTTTTTACAAAAATTGCCCAGGTTAGCAGAAATCCTCTATTCACCATTTCATCTGCCATTTTTTTTGCTCAGATCAAAAAACTTGACAAGATGCACCATTAAAAAGCTGACAAAATTATCTTTCTAATGATATATAACATGTCTCTATATAAATTTTTTCCATGTTAAACATAAATTCTACAGTACTATACACTTCAGTTGGTTGTCAAAGATGGCTGTCTTGACAATGAACGCATTTCTTTACTAAATGCTACATGTAGAAGAATAGTAGGACACTTTAAACATTCGGTTAAATCTTGCAAACTTTTGAGACAATCTCAGGAGATATTAGGACTTCCTAATTATAGCATTATTCAAGACGAGTTAACTAGATGGAATAGCACCTTCCACATGCTAAACCGTTTAATTGAACAAAAAGATGCAATTCTGTTGGTAACGCCACATTTCCCAAAAGCTGCTCGACAAAACAAAGAATTGTCAACCGAAGAATGGGACAGTTTGGTTTCTCTCGTTGCTGCTTTAAAGGTTTTTGAAGACGTCACGCTTACTGCAAGTTCATCGAAAGTGACCACATCAGAAGTTATCCCAATAATAAATGCAGTTAACATTTCACTTGATCACATTATAGACTACGGAAACTTCAAAGAATCTCTTTGTAAATCCTTGCATCGTCGTTACAGAGACTGCGAGAACGAACCTATATATGCTTTTGCAACAATACTAGATCCCAGATTTAAAAACAAGATTTTTAGGAGCAGGACGATGGCTGAGAAAGTTGTTACTTTATTGATCGGTGAGTTAAATGCACTGGACAAAGACGAAAGTCTTGCAATTAAAGTTGCTGAAAATCATAAACAAACCACAACTGCTCCAGGTGCTGTCTGGTCATTATATAACCAAATAATCAATACAAATTCTGAAGTAAGTATTGTATGTGTTTCTATATTATTATTATACTTTAAATATTGCTATTTATTTGATATTTCGCAGTATTTATATTTATTTGATATTTTGCAATATTGTATACTTACATCCATGTTTCGGATTTAAAGAATTGAGAGAAGGTTGTTACCACTATTAAAAACACAAAAGAATTAAAAAAAAAATTCCTCCTTGACTGAAGTCCCCTCGGCCATGGGGAGGTGAAGAATATGAAAAAAAATTAAATTTTTTAAAAAATATTTTAAATACATACTGCGTATTGCACTATGTCAGACGAAGTAGCAGTGTACTTGAAAGAACCTCTACTCGCAAGTCACGAAGACGTATTTAATTACTGGGGGAATTCCAAATTTTTTAATATGGAAAAACTAGCACAGAAGTATTTAGGAACGCCTCTATGGGGCCATCCATAAAGGACGTCACTATTTTTTAGGCATTTTTTGACCCCCTCCCCCCCTTTGTCACCAATTGTCCTTTTTTACTATACCCCCCTTAAAAAGGACGTCATATTTTGAGCTCCCCCCCCCTCCAATTTTTTAAAAAAATCCTTTCTTAATTTAAGCATTTTTATTGACATTTTTTTATGTGAATTATATTTTTCTCTGTTTAAATATCATTCTGGAGCTGATTAGGTATTTCCACGTATGTTTTTGCTCCTTTGCCTTTCTAAAAAAGAAAAAAAAAAAATTTATTATTTTAGTCTTATTCTATATATTAAATTTAATCAAAGTGTGTCATGAGAACTTGCCTCACGCATCATCCATCCAAGGATTTTTTAAATAATCATCAATTGATATGATTAGAATAGAGCAGTCGGGTTCGCCTAAAATAGTTGAATCATTCGGAATATGTAGGCCCTCCGTTTCGATTTCGTCCTCATCGAACCATTCAGCAAAGGCCTCGTTCTCGTCTATTGCAATTACAGCCATTAACTCTCTTTTGCGCTTGGCGGCAATGCGAACAGGCCTGATTTGCGAAAAAGTAATAGCCATTTGGTTAATAACATTGGAATGAGTAACGCTGACATGCTTTTTGAGCATGACTTGGGAGGCAAAGTACAAGTTACAATGCTTGCAGATTCTCTGAGACAAACTTGATTGCACAGAGGGACAAAACGTCTAAACTAATTGATTAAAGACATAAAGTGCGTGAAAACAATTTTTTCTCAATATAATTAACCGCTAATGTGTAATAAATTGCAGCGTTATGGAATCGGAGAACCATTGACCTGGGTAATTATCGATTAGATTGTCTAAAAATGTAAACGACTTTTGTTTTGTAAAAAAAATTTCTACATTTTCAGATTTTTCATCACCTATCAGACCGTACCAGTAAATTTTGTGGGGGTCATTTTTATAAAATGAGGCAGTTTAGAATAGCAAATAAATATTGTTCTTGGTTTATGTAACAAAATTCTTTTATAAATTTGCAACTAGATGTCCAGTTACTTTATGAAACACATACAGCCATAAAGTCTCAGGGAAACAAAAAACAAAGTTATATTAGAGTAAGTGTGAGTTGGGTAAGTTTCGAAACAATTGAATAGGTACCTAATGCAAAAGCAAATAACTAAGTGAAAGAAATGGTAGTAATTGATCATGTCTATCCTGAGTAGTAAAAGAAATACAGGTCAAATTAAACTCACTTTTATAGTGCTATATAAAGTTTGCAACGAGGACAAGTGATATTCAGTAAATAAAAAAGAAACAAAATCAATGATTATATATTAGTTGTACCCTATTTCAAGGTCACGCATCTCGGAGACTAGGCTGTTAAAACATTTATTAAATTTTGACATTAAAATAATTTTTTTATTACAATAAAAATATATTGTTATTGTATTATAAAGACGGATTACTACACAATATTTATTGTTATTGTAGTGGGTCATTACAATACATTTTTTTTCAGATATTGTTATTGTTTAATAAAGATGATTTGCAATACAACATTTATTGTTATTTACAATAGTTGTAAATCACATGTATTGTTATTGTTTCTAAATTAAGTTAATTCAATAACAATAGTTATTGTTACTGTTATTGTTTTCATTACAATTACAATAGTCCTAACCCTAGGTAAACAACAACAACAATAACAATATATTTCGTGTTACAGATGTTACAAAAACACAGGTAATTGCAAATAGTAATTCACTAATAAAGCGCAATGACCTAAATAAGATAAAAAATAATAAAACAATAATAATAATAATATGTAATAACCACGTAAAAAAGTAGGTTAAAAAAGGAAGTTAAGTAACATAATATTAACTAATAAAAGTAAAATTGCATAAAAAGTTATTTAATTATACCAAAAAATCAGACTTTTTGACTTTAGATAACATAATTAACATAATTTACATTTATATATGCACATATACATAAACAAGAAGCATAATAAAATATGTAAATTATAATAAATATAATTATTTAAAATAAAATATTAGAAATATAATTATTATAAAATAACAAACTATAATAAAAATAAAAAAATAAGTCAAAAAGTAGAAAGTAAAAAGGTAAAAAGTATAGTTAAGCATAACCTTTTAGGTAGAAATGATGAAATCACTTTATGAACAGATTCTTGAACCTAAGGATGAGACCTGGTTTTAGGGTGTTCGGAAGGGAGTTCAAAGAAAGAATACACAGGTATGTAATGGAATTAATTCTATGTTTACTTGTCTATTTTAGTGGGAGAGTTAAGTTGTTATAAGTGACTGATCTTAGGTTATGCCCACATGTTGTTCTGTTATTAAAATAGTTGTGAAATATAATAGGAAAGACACCATGTTGTTGATCCCAGACAAATGAACAATTTAAGAACTGAATTAAGATATAGAAATGAAGAACTTTGGATGTAATATATATTATGTTAGTAGGAAAATTTCTCGAACAAAAATGAATAATCCGTACCGCTCTATTTTGAAGTGAAACAACTCTGGAGAGACATACGGTTTTAGATTGTCCCCAAACTTGACATGCGTATTGTAAATGTGAACCAAAAATTGAGTGATATATAGAGAACAATGTATCAAAGTTAACGTAATGTCGAACTTTTGCTAACATGCCGTTGGAACGGCTTAACTTCAGAATAAGGTCAGATATGCGTGTTTTTCATCTGACACAGCACCAAGACACCAAGTTATGTTACTAGACAAGTTATGTTACTAGACAAGTACATTTTTTGACCAATTAATCGAAAGTTTAAGTATTTCGGAAAATTTTTCTTAGTTTTTTTAGAAATGTTAGTATTTCGAGTCTTAAATTGCTCCAGAAGCATGCCGAGCATTGCAAAGACATGCTTCTGGAATAACCGAATAGAACACTAAACTAATAGCATGAATCATGCCAAGCATTGCCATTTATGCTATTAGTTTGGTGTTCTATGCTTCTTCGCAAAATTCTCTTTTTTGTTTCTCCAATATAAATTCCACCACACGAACATATAAGCCAGTAGATTCCAAGGTTGTTGTTTGGCATTAAACTAGATTTGTTGTTACAGAGAGTTGTTGTTAAACTAGGTGGTGTTGTAAAAATAAGTTTGACATAAAATGTATTAGTGCATTTCGTAGTTTCGGTCCAAGTGTTTGTAGGCAAGGTAACTTTATTATCTCAACATTATTTTCTAGTTTTTTTTTCAACTTATTCCCATTTTATTCCGGCTTTAACTCGGATAATTTCTTGTAGTCTTGCTTTTTCTCTTTTAGCAATGTTGTTTTATTGTTTATATAAGATTTTTTTCCAAGTTAAGACACCAACCGCCATGCGAACAACTACCTTCATAAAATGATCAAAGCTTCTGAGCAAACCATGTAAACCTGAATGGACCTAACATTCGAACATGCAATTGGACATGTAGTTTGACCGTGTCAAATTTCGTAATCCTTTTTTTTTTTCAAAGTGGTCCCGTCCTCTTTTACTAAATTCAGAAACTTTTGCATGGATTTAACATCCCTATTTATGATAAAACCATCTTGAATTGTTTGTATATTTTCACATTGTTCTTTTGAAAGGTCACAAAGATCATAATATGAACCTCCAAGGCCTTGAAAAAAATTTGAAGCTTTTTTGTCTAAACTATTAGCGACAATGTTTACTTTAACATGGGAATCATTTTGATTATGCTCAGCAATAATTCCGTCTTCTTTCATACACTTTATGTCTTTGTTAAATAAAGAAAGAGATTGGATATTTTCATTTGACTCTTTCCCCATTTGAATCATAAGTGGTCTTTGAGTATACTCTGAGTTAGGGTGTTGCTGTTCCCACAATCTAATACTTTCATGATTTAAAATTTTAAGTGGACAAAACATTGCCATAATAATGTTGCTTGTGTTAACATTGTGCAGTTGGTTGTAAATTTTGTGTCCATCACTTCCATCGTAGCCAAATTTTACTTCTAGTGTAAGGCTGTTTTCTCTAAAGGAAACGGAAATATCTTCAAGTCTCAAAATTCTCTCAATAGTAATCTTGTAGATTCAATAAAACTTGCGTAGACACCAACAAAAAGATCTGGAGGATAGTTTGATGTGAAGGGCGTGATAGAATTTCGGAACAATTGAACTTCATAAAACGTAGACACCAACAAAAAGAACTGGAGGATAGTTTGATGTGAAGGGCGTGATAGAATTTCGGAACAATTGAACTTCATAAAACGTAGACACCAACAAAAAGATCTGGAGGATAGTTTGATGTGAAGGGCGTGATAGAATTTCGGAACAATTGAACTTCATTCCAGGTTGGAAATACATCTATACTGTTTCATTTTAGCATTTTTCTCTGCAAAGTATAAGTCATTCGACCTAAATTTGACTCATAAAAAATAACAGCCTCTGTCACTGTCGCTATATTTAACTTTAATGTTTTATTTTTTCCTTCACATCTTGTTAGAAGAAATTTACAAACACTTTTAAAATCCATTGTTTCATTTTTAGCAAAATTCTATAAATAATGATAAAACATTATATATATATATATATATATATATATATATATATATATATATATATATATATATATGCAACTAATTATAATACCTGCACATTTTCCCATAGCTTTTGTGATCTTCTTAACGGATGTTTCCTTGATAGGGCTGACCAATGTTTTATCACCCTATACGGACTGGTATCTTCATTATTCTTATCAGCAGATTCAAAGACTGAGCTACTTTCTTTAGTCTTTGGACTTATTCTTATAATGACTTCTTTTAATCCATATTTTAAAAAAGCGTCTTTTTCTAATTTCAACTTTTAAAATTTTCTTCTTTCAAGTGTTGAAATATTTGCAAAATATTTTTTAGTATTCCAACTTCATTTTTGCCTAACATAGCTTGCGTTTCATTTTCTATTATGGTAGTCAAATCAGATACACGAGTGACATTTATTAAAGTAAATAATTGATGCTCTGTTTAGCAATAATCTTCAAGTGTTGCCATATTTAATTGTTTTTGTTATTATTATTTTTCTTTTACTGTGCTTTTAATTTTTATTTACTTTTAAATGTGCTTTTAAGGGTCAGGTCAGGAGTATGGTCCAAGGGTCAGGTCAGGAGTATGGTCTTCATGATCATCCTGCTACTGGTAACATGTAACCCAGTGCAACCTGTTCCATGTTCTGCTGTCTTGCAGGATTTGCTATCTAAGCAAAGGCTGGAAGGAGTGTTCTTCCTGTCATCAGTACTATCTTATATCAGTCATGCCTATAGTAATTTTTTTTTTTTTTTTTTTTTTTCCCATATAGTTGGAGGTGCCTTAGTTACTGTATTAGCTCACCTGTAATCTACGTTATATGTATGTTTGTGTTCTGTCTGAACCTCTGGCGTGGTGTTCGCTCACCCGTAAGTTACTTTATGTTCTTTATGTATGTCTGTGTTCTGTCTGAAACTCTGGCGCGGTGTTCGCTCACCCGTAAGTTACTTTATGTTTATGTTTATGTTTTTTATGTTTTTTTATGTATGTTTGTGTTCTGTCTGAACCTCTGGCGCGGTGTTCGCTCACCCGTAAGTTACTTTATGTTTTTTATGTATGTTTGTGTTCTGTCTGAACCTCTGGCGCGGTGTTCGCTCACCCGTAAGTTACTTTATGTTTATGTTTATGTTTTTTATGTTTTTTTATGTATGTTTGTGTTCTGTCTGAACCTCTGGCGCGGTGTTCGCTCACCCGTAAGTTACTTTATGTTTTTTATGTATGTTTGTGTTCTGTCTGAACCTCTGGCGCGGTGTTGACTCACCCGTAAGTTGATTTATATTTATGTTTGTTTGTGTTCTGTTTATACTCTAATGCAGCGTGAGCTCAGTAACTAACTACTTACTCCAACTACAAAACGTACACTCACCTTAGACTCCTGTATTTTGTTAGATGCAGTGTTTTTCCTAATGCACTTCCAAAATGTCATGCCTGGTTTTCTCAAAGTACTGTTGCGGGAAATAACTCCTTTTAACTACTCCAGGTCAGGTCAGGATAGTCGAGACCAATCTTGCTACTGGTATCACGTAACCCAGTACCACCTGCCACAAGCCCTGCTGCCTTGCAGAGTGTGCTCTTATGCAAAGGCTAGGAGAAATAAACTCCGACTAAAAATTCCCCTGCCTTGGGGCTCTTGGTTGAGTAAAGGCTAGAGATGGTGTCTCGATAAAAATACTCATCTTGGGCAGATGTTAACTGCATCCAGCTACTGTCTTGTAGAAGGCCTCCTAGGCAAAGACTTTAGGGGTAAGCAGAAAAATTCTGCTAACCAGCCTCGAACCCCTTCTTCATCTATTAGGCTGGCGTAGATGTAACCTGTGTTACATTGTTTCCTGCCTAGGATGATGATAGCTGGACCTCCTTGACTCTACTCATAGAATTTTGCTTATGCCTCCTTGATAATGGCTATGCAACTCTTCCTGTTATCTCCATATGAGGATACAGCTCTAAAACTCAGTTTAATGGTTCTGAGGCCGGCTGGTAGTAAGGTTTCCCGAAATCTGTGGTAGCTCTCAGAGAGGCTGATTCGATCAACAGCTGCAAAATATCAGAGTATTAACAGTGCCGTGTTGCGCATGGATGGTGTCCCTGTTAATGCTTTTGGTGTGCATTGTCAAGGCCACATAAGGAGCCCTATGTCACGGCTTAGGGTTAATTAACAGGACTGAGACAACTGCATAGCTCATTGATTAGGAGGCTGTGCTCTATCTATGAATGAGTCAAGTTCTCATTAAACCCAAATCATGACCAAAGCAACCAAAAATTTAAAACCTAAAAAACCATCCCCACCACCTAAATATTTTAATATATCTTTTACAAATATTCGCGGCCTACGAAGCAACTTTCCATCAGTTGAGTCTTACCTCCTGCAAAATTCACCAGACTTGCTTGCACTCAGTGAAACAAATTTAAGTTCTGCAATTCCTTCTTCAGATGTCAGTGTTGATGGGTACTATCCTTTGATTCGTAAAGACTCCAATAGTCACATGCTAGGTTTAGGAATATACATACGCATTAATTCCCCTATTTGTCGTGAAATCAGGTTCGAATCCCTTGACCATTTTTTTATGTGCTTTCGCCTAGCACCTCTTCACTCTATCACCTTTCTCTTTGTTCTTTATCGTTCTCCTTCTTCCCATGATTGCACTCTTTTAGATGTTATCTCTGATCAAATTGACCATGCCCTCTCTCTTTACCCCTCTGCCAATATTGTTGTTGTTGGTGATTTTAATGCCCATCACACTGAATGGCTTGGCTCTAACGCCACTGATCCTGCTGGCACTAAAGCCTTTAACTTCTGCGTTTCTCAATCTCTTACTCAGATAGTTAACTTTGTGACTCGTTTTCCTGACAACCCTAATCATTTACCTTCACTCCTTGACTTATGTCTTGTCTCTGACCCTAGCTTATGTTCAGTTTCTCCCTTTTCTCCCTTAGGTGGTTCTGACCATGCAATGATCTCTATAAATCTTTCTTCTCGTACTTCTTTTTTGGGCTCACCTTATCATCGCACCACCTACTACTACCCTAAAGCTGACTGGGATTCCTTTCGTGATTTTCTTCGTGATGGTCCTTGGGCTGATGTTTTTTCTCTCTCAGCTGACAAATGCGCCTCCTACGTAACCTGCTGGATTCAGGCTGGAATGGAAGCTTTTATTCCTTCTCGTCGGTTTCAAGTCAAGCCTCATTCTACTCCATGGTTTTCTCCTTGTTGTGCGGCTGCTATATCCAATCGTAATCATTTTTTTCATCTTTTTTAAAAGAACAACTCTCTTGAGAACAAACGGCTATTTATTATTGCAAGAAATCGATGTAAAAAGGTGCTTTCTGATGCTAAACTCCATTATTCTCAGTTCACTAAATCTCGCATCTTATCGCAGAAGTTAGGCTCTAAAGACTTTTGGAAAATCTTCAACAGCATTGTTAACAAGGGTAGATCTAACAATCCATCTCTCATTCATGGGACTCATCTTGTTACCTCTCCCAGGGATAAGACAGAACTGTTTGCAAAGAACTTTTCTTCTAATTCCACACTTGAATCTTATGGACATTCTCTTCCTTCCATTCCAGTCAAACAGGTTGACCCATTGTTAGACATTCAAATCACTCCGGCTTCTGTTGCTAAAGTCATATCTCAACTAATCTCGTCTACAGCTTGTGGTCCAGACAACATTCCTGTCACAGTCTTGCAGAATTGTTCTCCAGAACTTTCTTCAATTCTCTCTAAACTATTTAACAAGTGTTTAACTGAGTCTTGTTTTCCTGCTTGTTAGAAAATGGCATCTGTGGTTCCAATATTCAAAAACTCTGGAGAAAATTCTGACCCCTCCAATTATCGTCCGATCAGCCTTCTTTCTGTTATTAGCAAGGTCTTTGAGTCTTTGATCAACAAATTCCTCACATCTCATCTTGAGTCAAATAAACTGCTGTCAGACAATCAATACGGTTTTCGATCCTCTCACTCTACGGCCGACTTGCTAACTGCTGTAACTGACAGATTTTATCGGGCATTAGATGGAGGCGGTGAGGCTAGGGCCAATTGCTCTCGACATATCTAAAGCTTTCGACAAAGTTTGGCATGCTGGTCTTCTCCATAAGCTTGCTTCATATGGTGTTTCTGGAAAAGTTTTTGAGATTATCAAATCATTTCTTTCTAACCGGTTTATTAAAGTCATCCTTGAAGGCCAACACTCTTCTTTATTTCCAGTAACTTCTGGGGTTCCCCAAGGTTCCATCCTGGGCCCTGTTTTGTTTCTTATCTACATAAACGATCTTCCTGACAACCTTTCATCTAAAGTAGCTCTTTTTGCTGATGACTCAACTTTAATAGATTGGGGTTCACAGTGGCTTGTGAATTTCAACTCTAAAAAAACCCAATTGCTTACTGCAAACAACTACCGTAATATGGTCAACATTCCTATATTAATGAATGGCAATCCTCTTACTGAGTCCTCCTCTTTACGTCTTCTTGGATTATTGCTTACTACTGACCTTTCATGGAAACCTTATATACAATCAATTACTAAATAAGCTTCTGCTAAGGTTGCTTCTCTTTATCGTGCTCGCCATTTCCTTACTTCTGATTCCATTCTCTACCTCTACAAATCTCTTATTCGTCCCTGTATGGAATACTGTTGTCATATTTGGGCTGGTTCTTCTAATGATTCACTTTCTCTTCTGGACAAGGTCCAAAAACGCATTGTAAATGTTGTTGGACCTGGACTATCTGCTAAGCTTGAACCTCTTTCCCATCGTCGTAAAGTTGCATCTCTTTCTCTTTTCTACAGATACTATCATGGTCACTGCTCAAAGGAGTTATCATCTCTAGTTCCATCAACTAAAATTCATTCTCGTTTTACTCGTCATTCAGCTAAGTCTCATTCGTTTACTGTATCTGTCCCTGCATGCTCTAAAAACTTTTATTCATCTAGTTTTTTTCCCCGCACTTCAATCCTTTGGAACTCTCTCCCATCTTCATGTTTTCCTGACTCATACAACCTTCAACTTTTCAAGTCTTCTGTCAACCGTTTCCTTGCTCTATAACTCTGTTCTTTTTTTTCCTAGTAACTCCCAACTTAATAGTGGTTGCTTGCAGCCTTGTTGGGAGTAAATGCAAACAAAAAAAAAAAAAAATTGTTTATAATTGATTTTACTTTCATATTTCAAAATAATGTTATCATAAAGGTATTTACTCTATTTATATAAGTTTAAATGATCATCAAAAAAAAAAAAGAATTTTGGTAGAAATAAATTGTTTAATAATAATTGCCTGGTATCTGATTGTTTCCTAATTGTGAGATCAGATGCGTTCAATTACTTAATTAGTTTTCTGATGACGTAAGTGCTTAATTCTTTAAACGTAAAAGTTTTAAGTCTTTAAATCTTCGTATTTAAAACCACAACAACAAGATCATCGAATTTTTAAAATTTGATAACAAAAAAGTTGTTTAGTTAATTCAAACATTTTATGGAGCCGCAGATTTATCGCTTTAGATGTACGGCAATTAAAAACACATGTTATATCATTACATCAATTAAAAACATGTATATTAACTTTATTTTAATAGACTATAACTAATTAAATCAAACATTTTGGTGTCATACAGTTATTATATGATTTTTTTAATTCATGAAGCGTAAAAAAATGTTTTGCAACTATATAATTATTTTAGAAAAGTTAATAGTGTTTTTTGTGTTCTTTATATATTTTATGATTTTGTGAATATTTTTAGCGGAATATTTTTTTATCTAACTGACGTAAAAACATGTATTTAGACTTTATATAAGAATCCTGTATATAAAAACATTTTTTAATTGCATGATTTAAAGTGCCCTTTAGGTGTCCTAGAGTCTATAGTGCAATCATGGTGATGAACATAAGAATATTTTTAATAGATAAAGCTTGAAAGGTTACCCTTAAAACATGAACTTTGACTATGTATACCTAAAATTGTTATTACTGACTTTTTTAAAATGTTATTAATAAAATGTTAGCGTGTTTTGCAGAGTGTTATTTTGATGTCCTAGAGTTATGGTATATCCTCAGGAGTATTATTTAATGATGGAACTTCAAAAATTAAGCTAAAAACATATACCATGACCATGTTTTATTTTCCCATGCCGCACAAAGAGATATTTTCTAAGTATTGTCAAATGTCCACAAAAAGTGCAAAATAAACTACTGTGCTATAATTAGTATTTTTGTAGTTGGTTTATCTACCAATTGGTAATTAATAATGTTGACTTAGTTAAATTTTTTTGTAAATTCATACTTTTTTTTTATATATTTTGTTTTGTTATTATGTATAAATAAATTAATTTCCAGTTAATACATGTGGTGTATTTTTTTCCTTTTTTAATTCGATTACTTTTTAGATTAATCAGATGACGTGCTTGTTCAATATAGACATACAATTGAAAACTGTTATGTTTTTTTAATTTGTTAATAAATGTGTAAATAAAAATATCTTTAACTTTACAAAGTTATGAGACATTTTTTTTGAAACCACAATCCTTCATCATTCGTATTTTAAGTCTATGCAAATATCTGATCTAAATTTCAAATTATGTAAATTATTAATCATGTAAAATTATATTACATGTTACACATTTCGACGTCTTTTTTCCCAGTGGGTAAAAAGACGTCGAAAAGACGTCTTTAAAAGTCTTATTTACAATGTCTTTAAGACGTCTTTTTTTAATCGAATTGCAAATCTAAAAGACATCTTTTTTAGACATCGAAAAGGCGTCCTTTTTGTCTTTATCTTGTCATGAAAAGACATAAAAAATGCGTCTTTAAGACGTCTTTGTTTATCAATTATGCACTTCTAAAAAAGTTTTTTTGCTCGGGGTCCGAACAACTTTTTCGCCATACTTATTAGTATACTATAGTATCTTATACACTATAATATTCTTACTTTTCATATATGAAAAGCTGTTTTTATCAAATGAAAATGGTAATAGCTCTTCATACAAAGTATGACAAAAAGCTCTGATGCCGAAAAAAAATCCTCTTTTAGATGTCAATATAAAAGAGGAAGCAATTTCTACATATATATGTTTATATGTTTAAAAATAGGAGAATAATTTATAAATAAAACAACAGTATTGTTCAACAAAATATTTTTTCATCTTTCTCTTTCTTTCCTGTTTCTTGAGAGAGCTCTGTTTCTTGGAGTTGTTGAATAAAATTAACTATTTCACGTTGAGAAATCTTTTCATATGAGGTGGTTACGACTTCTAGCTGGTTACGACTTCTAAAAAACAAGTGAACGTAAAAAACAATTTATTGCTTAAATGTAATACAAAAAAAGCAAATAAAACTTGATCAGCTTAGTGAAATAACATTAGACTTACCGACTAATAGTTCAAAAAGGGCTAATCCTTTTAACCCCCTCCTGTTTCCAGCGCAGTTCTTTCTTTTTGAGCCCACTAGGTTAGATTGGGACAGGAGTCAAGCGGTAAACAGTCTAAAAATATATAAAAATGAGTGTGCTAAAGAAATTTACGACCATCAAAATGATTGAACAACAATGTATTTTAGTATGTAGTACTTAAACCAAGTTAAACATTTGCAGATTTGCTATGAAAACTCTCAGACTTGCTATGAAAGCCAAGTTATTGAAAACAAATATTGATATTTTTCTGTCTTCTATGACATGACTTTTTAATTGAATTTCCATGAAATTAAGTGCTGTAGACTCATAACAATTTAAAAATCCTTTATTGACAAAACAAACAGATAATTCAGCTAATAAACCTTGAGAGTTGTTATTCATTTAAACTGGATAAAAGTATTAACCAAAGCTCTATTTTAGCCTGAAACATAATGATGCTTTACCTAACAACATAAAATCATAAAAACTGGCGATATCATCAGCAACACAGATGAAATACACATAAACAAAAATGAAGACTAGAAAGCTGCAATGATGTTTAGATATAATAAAGTGTACCTTTCCAGTATCATTTTTACTTGGTCTTTTGTATTTAAATCAAAAGTTTTGCAAACAGTTCTAAAGATAAATCTGTTGTCATTATGTGCAATTTTTTACTTGTTTTGTTAATGACAGACAACTGTTAACAAAAAAATAACAACTTTAACATAAAAATTAAAGAGCCAATTGTTCGTATAAACAATTTTATCATTCAACTAAATAAAAACAACAAAATTATGCAAATCATTTAAAAATATATAAAAAAAAATTGCAAGCTTACTGAATGCTTCTTCTTTTCTATCGTTCGTTTCACTGGCACGCAATCCACTTTTTGCTTCTTTCAATTAACATTTTCTAGCTAAATAGCTGCAATTATAAATATATATATATATATATATATATATATATATATATATATATATATATATATATATATATATATATATATATATATATATATATATATATATATATATATATATATATATATATATATATATATATATATATATATATATATATATATATATATATATATATATATATATATTATAGTATTTATATATATATATATATTATATTATAGTATATATACACATATATATATATATATATATATATATATATATATATATATATATATATATATATATATATATATATATATATATATATATATATATACGCATATATATTATGTATATTTTACATAATATATTATTTTATTATATAAGTTATAAAATAAACCTGCTTACCGAAAATAGTTAATTTTAAATTAAACTTCCTAAGCAAAAACGTTTCACATAAAAAAAAGTTTTATAAAAGTATTTTGTAAACAAAAAACGGGCCAATCAGAACGTAACAAAGATAATAATTATGATACTGTGGGTTAAAACCGATCTTTGTTAGGTTCTATTGGCAATAATTATTTTTAATTTTCTTAAAAAAAATAATGATTTCCTTATTAACAACAAAAGTTGTTAATAAGCAAATAGTAATTTGTTTATTATAATTATAATAAGCAACCCATGATTTGCTTATTAACAACTTAAGCTGTTTCCCAGTGGGAAACGTTAGTAACTTTTTTCCTCCCTTAAGAAAAAATATTTCTACTGGGTAATGTTTAATTTAACATTTAAATGAAAATTTTCTTATTTCTTTTTTTAAATTTCATCAATAAAAAAGACGTCTTTTCTACGTCTTATTAAAGACGTATTACCGTTTGGCGTCTTTTCGACCTTCTTTTTGAAAACGTCTTTTCAAAATACGTCTTTTCCACGTCTTTATTAAGGCTGATTGAAAAAAAAACATAAAAATGACGTCTTTTATTTGTCTAAAGATATCTTTTTTCCCACTGGGTTACTTTTACTAAACAATTTCATTTGGGCGATATTTGCTTAATTTTAATTTATGAATTTTTATAAAGCATTAAAGTCGTTTTATAAAAGTTTATAAACAATTTAATGCCGTTTTATAAAGTTCAATAAGTCTTTAGTTTGTTAAACAGTGTTAAAAAATAATATTGTAGCATGCCAAAGTGGTTGAAGTAATTCGCATGGGTCTAAACCTTTTCGTTTAATTTTATATTTTATAAAATATTGCTGAAGCAAAAAGCGTGTTTTAGTTTAAATAATTTTAAACATAAAACTAACTTTTATTAACTATGTATTAATTATAATTCTTACTTTAATTTTAGAAAATTTTACCTCAAGAGCTATTTCTCTTAGCTTTTCTGAAGATTGGTTTACTAACACCAGCAAGTGTTCAACTCTAAGCATATTTTCTGGCAAAATCTTTAGTGTAGACTTTTAATAGATAATTAATTTTAAATAATAGGCACTTAATTTTTTTATTAAAGTAAAGCAATTTTAAGAGTTTATAGAGATTATACGCATATCATATAAATATAACAAACGAAAGGGAGAGAATTTTTTAAAAAGCTTTTTAAAATTTCTAAAAACACAAAAACACTGTTCGAAGTTTGTTGCGCGCGTATGTCACGTTTAAGATTTAATGTTTAAGGTTTTAATGTGCTTAGTAATAGATTAAATGTGCACATTAAAGAGATAACTTTCTTTTTTATAAAAAAAAGATTTTACACGGAAACTTTACTTTTCTTTAAAATTAACAGGGTAAGAGTCCGAATAACATGGATCTTTTTCCGAATTCTTCTCAACTTATAATTTTTCCGGATAGCCAAAACGTTTTCTATACATATATGAGTTTAGGAATATCACGGTTAGCACGGATCCTTATAATGCCTACCGACCAGTCCCAAGAACGCCACTTATACGGAAAGTTAGCGTACACATCAAGGTAACCTGTGATGCAAATTTTGAAATCATTTAATTTTGTCCGCGGAAAATAATTTAATTTGAATGTTCAAATTAAGTCAAATTTTGACTTCATTGTGCGCCAATAAAAACACTTGTAGAGTTTGAACCACTCAATATAGTTTGATAAAAATTAGTACAAATGTAGCCAATAGTCACACCAAACTCTGGACAAAATTTCAGCCTGATATAATTATTTTATCGGCACATGTACAGTTTTTATTTTATAGACCAAAATAGTGATTTATTACTTCCCAGCAAACTCGGGGACGTACAAAAAACGTACAATGAACGTTCAGACGGAACGTCTCGGACGCGTTCTAAACTGATTCTAGATTAGACGCTTAAAGACGTCTTTTTCGGACGTTCAAAAGATGTTCTATAGAGACGTAAAAGTTTCATTTGCGTATTAAAGTGTTCATGATAAAACAGCTGAAATTTGGTCCAGAAAAAACGTCTTTTGAACGTTCAAAAGGTCTTTAAAGCGCTCAAACGACGTTTGTTAAGCTACAAGCGTAATTTAGTAATTGCAGACATTTGATAACTGAATTACGCTCATAGCTTAATTAACTTAAAAACCCCACAATTGTGGGGTTTTTACCACTAGATTTTAACGTTTAGAAAACATAACCGAAACGTCAGCAAGTGCAGATATAAAACACAATTTGCAGTGTAAACCATGTTAAAGATACTTCACATTACAAAAATATTTAAAAAACATCTTGAAAACTGTTATTATGATTTTCTTTATCCCGTCCACCTCCGCCTTTTCTACCTATTTCCAACGCATTTTTCTATTTCCATTTCATCATACTTTGACATGGCCTCTGCAAAAAATAAATTTAAAAAATAAGATTTATAATATATATTATAAATAGCTTAATCAGCCATGCATAATTAAACATTAACCAAAAAAGCCATTTTATTATTGATATGAGTAAAACATAATTGTTTGATTGCATCCCTGAAAATAAAATTCCATTAATTTTAACTTAAAAATAAAAAAGTACAAAAATGATTTTTTATTTTATCAAACCTTTTCGATTATTAAAACCCATCCTTGACTATTTAGAATATATTATAAAAAAAACATGTACCAGCAATAACCTTCATCGGATTTGTACTTTAATGTATTCCCGCACACTTTCCGAATGTAATTCAGACGTCTTTTGAACGTTCCACGCTGACCAAAGAAAATTATTTTGGTTCAAAAAAGGTTTAGGACGTTCAGAACGTAAACTGAACGTACATTGTACGTTTTTTGTACGCGTAGTGTTTGCTGGGTTAAAGCGTTATTTAAATAGTCCTATGCTAATAGTGTAGACACGACCATCAAAGTGGAGGGGGTCAACCCCTCAATTTCTAAAATAAAATCCATAATTTCTAAAATAATTGCCTATATTTCTAAAACAAAAGGTCCTCGAAAAAAAAAAAAAAGTGGGCAGGCCATGGCTCCCTTGACGGCCATGTATGCATAGCGTGAATATACTAACATTTCCCAAGGTATAAACTACTGCCAGAATGCAAAAATTCTAAAAAAATGTTTAAGAAGGATTTCTAAGGATAACTAAATAGAAAATAAAAACATTTATTTATCTGAAAACAGAACAACTGTGAAAAAACCAAATATTTTTTAAATTGACAAAGACAATTGACTTAAAAAATTTAAATGAATTAACTAAGATATCTGACCAATACAAAGTTTGAAGGGCCAGTCGGAGGAAAATTACTCTTACTGAATAACTAATTAGCTTGAAGGATTGTTTTGAAATAAAACAGCTATGTGACAAGTATTATTTGTTTAATAAGTGTGACAATTATCAATAATGTAATTTCCTTACAAGTAAATAGTTTAAACAATTGTTTCCTGGTAAGGAGAGAACTATTCAAGAATTATTTCCTTGTAATTTAATATCACCTCAATTAAATCAAGTAAATATTTCCTTTATTTTATTAGTTTTTCATTAACAATATGTGTTACTTAGTTAAGTGGATTGTTATCAAATATAAATTTAGGTCAAATTTTGTAAAAGGCAGAGTTTGATTTAGTGAAGTCAAATTTAGTGAATTTCCACGATGCCAAATCAAGCAAAGAATCATGATGAAAATCGAAAGTTTGTGTGCTTGCTCTGTCTGAAAAAATGTTTAAGACAGCATACTACTTTTCAATCAGATCAAATATGCCAACTGTACAAGACCAAGATTAATATCAATGATACTCGGGTACCAAAAGGATTCTGCGAATCGCGTAGAATTACTTTGCGCAGGAAACAAGAGGGGAAAGAAGTTGCACTCCCTTCTTTGTTTGATTTTATGTCAATACAAGTGAGACCTGAAACAAGAGGCACGATGTGTTGTTGCCTAATATGCCGAATCGGTCGTTCAAAGCTGCAAGAAAAACATCTTCTTACAGAGCAAACCACTATTGAAAAAAAACCATGGTGCGTTGCAGAAAATGCCTCAGCTCTTTAGGAAAACGTTTGTCCCACCAATGCTCTCAAATAATGTTAAGGGAAAACATTCAATCTTTGGCAGCAAAAGATGCCAAATTATTTAAATAAATCGCATCTCGAGTTATTTCCAATAAAGAATTATCTCCGGAAGGAACTATCTAACTGGCTAAAGCATCCGGCAGGGATTACCAGGGATACAGTTACCCCTGGTAAATATTTATACTTAAATAATTTTAACATATATATTGAAATAAATCTTGACTATTAAGAAACAACAGATAGATTTCAAGAAGTGTTTTTTTGACAAGTTTCTAATTTCTTTAAAAACGAATGATTTGAAAGTTTTACCCAAACTTACTAAACAAAGTTTATTGTGACTATAAAATATGTATGTTTTGGTTTTAGCTCAAAGTAGTGCGCAGACACCATCAAGTGCTCCAAAATTAACCGCTGTAGTCCTTGTAGTGTGCAATTAAATACGGGCCAGTCAAACAACGGATTAAAGAAACTTGTTAGAACTATAAACAAAACATCAAGCAGCAAGATGGTAGAGCGAAATTTCTACATGAATTTTTTAAGACTAGGTCAACAATTGAGTGATTTCTTCACCTGCAGCGACTTAAAAATCACTGACGAAAAAACAGATTGTTGTACAGTTCATGTTGCTACTTTCTGCAATGATTTATCAAGTCTTGTGAATCATGTTATTCAGTCCAGCAAAATTCCTATTCTGGTGGCTATTTTGTTAAGATCGGAATTGATGGTGGCAAAGGTTTTCTCAAGTTTTGCCTAAGCATTGTTGATACTGCGTTAAGGGTTGAAACCAGCTCACCGCACCAACAACAACCTCTCACTCAAAGGACTGGTAAAGACACTGGAGTCAAGAAACAAATTTTTGTTGGGGCTTCAGAAGATTTGCCAGAAACACACTCTAATATCGAACAAATTTGGTCACTGATTAATGCAAATGGAGATAAACTAATTTTGGCTTGTGATATAAAAGTTGCAAAATATAATTTGTGGTCTTCAAACTCATTCAAATACGCATCCTTGCACCTGTTGTGACGTCAAATCCGATTGTCTTGCCAAATCTGAAAACTTGCGAATACTGGGCTCAATTAATTCAAGCCTTGAGTCTTTTCAGTAATCTGGCTGGGTTGTCTGGCAATGTCAATCGAAAGCCAATCATCTGCAGGCCTGTCAATGTTCTAATTTTAGAAATCATTCTACCGATGGAATTGCATCTCCTCTTAGAAATTGTCAACCATCTTTTCAAGATCCTTTAAACTACTTGGGTAGAAGCTGTTAAGTAACCAGCCGCCCTCCACATTTAACTGAGACCGTATCACGGGGACCAGTTTTAGGGAAATGAATGCAGCTTCTTAAAAATGTGGATATGCTGCAGCAACTTGCTGAGACAAACATGGTTCCCAATATCGTCTGCATAATTGAAGCATTCAAAAGCTTCAATTTAGTTGTCAATGCTTGCTTTGGATACATCTTTCACCGGGATTTCGCTGAAAAAATTGACATCATCAAAAAGTGTTACCTAATGATAACTGGTGCAAGCGTAACACCCAAAATTCACGCCGTCTTCTACTACATCAAGGATTTCATAAGTCACAAAGGATCACCCTTTGGGTGAACAAACTCTAATCATCCAGAGTACAAAGAAAGATTGTTGCGCTACATAATTGATCTAAACAGTAAGCATCTTTAAATAAGATTTGAGTTGTTAAAAATTAGGCTGCTGAAATTCATATTTTACTGCGTAAAATGAATATTTTACCATTAAAAGTAGTATTATAGAGTATTTGTATTAAAAGAGTACATTGAGCTATTTATTAATAATCTTTTGGTGAAGAAAATCAAAAAAACATTTCTTAAAATGTAATTAGATATTTGATGGTAATGCAATGTAAAAAATAGGGTTTAAATAGTTTTTACTTCATTTTAAAAGTACATGTATTTAAAGAGGTCAATAAAAAATATTCTAGGAAATCTACTTCTTTTTTTGTTTTACTAACTGGTAGTCCTTTGACCATGTTTTGCAATTTTTTTTAGTTTTTATTTTGGCAGAAGTTTATACATTAGGAAATGTTGAAATATTTAAGCGAAGCATACATGACCGTCAATGCCGGCGAGGGTAGGGGTCATGTCCTTCTCTATTTTTTTTTTGCGAGGACCTTATGTTTTAAAAATATAGACAATTATTTTAGAAATTATGGATTTTATTTTAGAAATTGAGGGGTTGACCCCTTCCACTTTGAAGGCCGTGTCGACACTATTAGCATTAAACTATTTAAATCACGCTTTAAGTAGAAAATAACTATTTTGGTCTATAAAATGAAAAATGTACATGTACCGATAAAATAATTATATCAGGCTGAAATTTTGTCCAGAGTTTGGTGTGACTATTATTTGCTTTTGCTACATTTGCACAATTTTTATCAAATTATATTGAGTGGTTCAAACTCTACAAGTGTTTTATTGGTGTACAATGAAGTCAAAATTTGACTTAATTTGAACATTCAAATTAAATTATTTTCCGCGGACAAAATTAAATGATTTCAAAATTTGCATCACAGAGTACCTTGATTTGTACGCTAACTTTCCGTATAAGTGGAGTTCTTGGGACAGGTCGGTAGGCATTATAAGGATCCGTGCTAACCGTGACACAATTTTGTAATATATTTGTATTTTAAGCTTTTACACTCATCGCTCATACTAAAATTTAAAATATTTTGAAACAACTCAACTAAAAGCAAGAAACTTATTTTAGATAGAAATAATAAAATATAAAAGTTTACAGAAATTGTAAAGTATTGAAAGTTAATCGTTAACTCAAAACAAAGATTTTTATATTTTGGTCTTTTTTAAAAAATATTGAAATAAAACGAAATTATTTCGATGGCAGGTGTGGAATAGACTTACCATGACCAGTAATATATTTATATTTAGTAATAAATATACGGGTCATGGTAAGTCAGTTATTTCACATATTTAATTCATCTCATGTTTTTTGAAATTTTTATACCAATGGTATTTGATTTCAAGCAGGTGTTCTAAATATTATTTAGGCTGTAACTGATATCCGATTCGTTGATAAATAGCGATGTAATAGAAAATTTATCTTATAGCTTTAAAAAGCAAACAATAAGTATTGTTATTAAATATTTAATTACTTTTCTACCTCTTACTAAAATATATTGAAGTAAAGAATAAGTTTAAAAAAGGTCGGTGTGTAATAAATTTACCAAGGCCCGTATTTAACGGGTCATCACAGCTAGTTTTTATTATTATTATAATATTATAATATGATTTATAAAGGAGAATAAATATCTTGTTGTTGTTGTTGTTGTTGTTGTTGTTGTTGTTGTTGTTGTTTTTGTTGTTGTTTTTGTTGTTGTTGTTGTTGTTGTTGTTGTTGTTGTTGTTGTTGTTGTTGATGTTGTTGTTGTTGTTGTTGTTTTCACATTTTAAACTTTGGTGAAAAATTTCGCAAAATTAATTTGTTTATTTTTTCGTTTCAAATCTTATTTTAAATCAAATGCTAAAACGATTTGCGCAATATTATGCAACTTAAGTTGCGTGTTACGGCTTTTAAAAATAGTGAAGGTAGAGTTGTGGTTTAAAAAAAAGTAAGGGTAGTGTTGCGGTATTAAAAATAGCAGTTGTAATAATAATAGTAAAAATTTTATTATTACTAACATTATTACAATTTAATAATTGTAATAATAATAGTAATAATAAAAACAGCAGTAACGAAAGTAATAAATATTAATGACAAAAACAATAAAGTTTTTATAGAAATAGTAAGAAAAAAAAAAAAAAGAAGAAAACTAAAGGAAGTTAATAACGATGATCAAAATAACTATGATACTGGGATCGAAATGTGAATAAACAATACAAAATGCAAAGAAACCTAATATCAATTGAGAAAAAAATGTGTATAAAAGTACAATAAAATAAAGTTGTTATGATTTATTCTCATGAGATTCTTCGACCTGGAACGTTTGCCAAATGGTGTACTTTAATAAAAAAAGAAGAACGAAAGATGCAATGGCAAACTTTGAAAAAAGAAAGAAAAAAAGAAAAAGAAAGGTTTTAAAATTACATATTTAATATCTTATAGATTTTCTTTTTGAAAATAATAAAAAATAGTATTACCAAATATGCAAATAATATGCATAATCATTATAACAAAGAAATTTGTAAACTCTTTATTAGTTCTTATATGAATGCAGCATTGTTGATTGCATTGGTCAAGCAATCAAAAAGAATTGTAAAAAGCACGAGTTTATTTTAAGTGATTCAACGAACATATGTATTTAGATTCAATTTGAATTGGTTGTTTTTATTTAAATCATATAAATAAAAACAAATAATTCAATCAAAAGTTTGGATTATATGATGCAGTAATGTTTTGTTTATTGGCACTGGCATCTTAATTAGTTTATGTTACTTCATAATTATTAAACCTTTAACAATGCTTGTGTACTTGAATATTTTTGTAAAATTAAAATTTCGTTTTTTACAAATTTTGCTGTTTATTTTTTTAATTTTTTTTTTTTAAAATTGCAATTTTTTCGTTTTTTTTCAATATGAATATGAAAGTTCCTTTGTGTAACCCTGTATAAGGACTAAAAAAAAAAAAAAAAAAAAAAAAAAAATCTTTAAAAGATTTAAAACCATTTGGAACAAATTTTTCAGAGTTGAAATTTAAGATTTTTTAAAAATTATGGATTAAAACTTATTAACAATATTGTAAATATGTACTTTTTTTATTTGGTCGTAACTTTTAAAAAGAAACTTATATACATATTAACCAAATATATTTTTGCTTAAGAAAAATCATCTTTAACAATTAATGTTTAGAGAAGTGGTTAATATATTTCTAACCCCCGTCAAATTCTTTTTTTTAATCGTTCACTCTTAGGTGTTTAATAGGGAGAAGGGGAAAGTTTAATAACTTTTCGAATATATAATTTAATAAAATTTTATTGGTTTTGAAAAAGAAGTTTTCTATAGTACTCAATAAAAATGTATTTATTGTCGAAGAAAACTATCTACTAATAAAAAGAAAAACTTAATCAGTAATCAGGCTTTAAAATGTAAAATTTAAACTAACTGATCAAAATTAAAATTTCATTTTAATCAGCTCTTAAAAGATTACGAACACTATAGATGAGTTCAAAATGTTATTAAGAGATTGTGTTAAAAACTGAGGAACTTGTATTGCTGTTGTTATACATTTTTGAGTCGTTTGCCCGCATTTCGATTTCCGAATATTTAGTTTTAATATATTCAATATTTGCGTGACGAAAACAAAACGGTACTCTATTAGAACGTGTGTAATTCGCTTAATATATTGTTGAAATAATTCAAAAATTTGAAATTATTATTTCACTTCCGTCTATAGATTGCCGTGCCGATTTCAAAATTAAAACTAAAAATGGAAGCAAAAAAAAAAAAAAAAAAAAGCAGTTCGGTTTGCTTCTTTTTGAAAATAATCTAAAAATCAACTAACGAAAAAACCTTTCACTTTGAAAACCACAAGACAAATTTTAGCTTACATGGTTGAACAATTTAAACTTAAAAATTGAGCAAATGATTACTAAGTTTTGTAATAAGACTCCCACGCTGATTTCAGTTTGTGTTCTTATAAAGAACTTTCACCTGCCCTTACAGGAATAATGGTAGTCCATAGGCAAAGTTTTGTCAAAGCGGAGTGAATAATTTTGCATATGAACGCAATGTTATGAGTTTCATAAGATAGGCGTAACCTCAGTTGTTATTCTGGTTAGATGGGATTTTTATTCATATAAACAATTTCTCAGACTAATAAAAAGTATTTTAGTTGGTTTATATAAGCATAAAAATAACTAATTATTTTTAAAATAACAATTTATTTTGCTTAGCATATATAGGATATATGTATTTATCTATTTATCTCTCTCTACATACACACACACACACACACACACACACACACACACACACACACACACACACACACTCACACATATATATATATATATAATATATATATATATATATATATATATATATATATATATATATATATATATGTATATATATATATATATATATATATATATATATATATATATATATATATATATATGTATATATATATATATACATATATATATATATGTATATATATATATATATATATATATATATATATATATATATATATATATATATATATATATATATATATGTATATATATATATATATATATATATATATATATATATATATATATATATATATATATATATATGTATATATATATATATATATATATATATATATATATATATATATATATATATATATATATATATATATATATATATATATTTACATATATTTACATATACATATATGTGTGTGTATATAGAGTTTTTGTTGCGCATCTGTTTAAATATATTTAAAAACAATTTGAAAATATTTATAAAAACTTTGTTTTTTAAATATCTATTAAAAGATAATTCGGAATTAAACTAATAAAAAAATAAAAATACCGCAAATAATTGTAAACGCGCCGATTCTGCGCTATCGTTTTTATAAAAAAACAGAACTTGTTGTATTTAAAACTTTGTCTTTAAAACATCGTATTGAACTTGTGTTTATGAAAGATGTTTTTTTTTAAACTAATTTGTATTTTCCTTTTATGTTTCTTTATTTTAAAATTTATTTTTAGCCGCTTTTAAGATTGAAAAAGTTTTTCAAGAATTTAATATCTAAATTTATTTGATAATTTTTATCTAACAGTTAGCATAAGAGAGTGTGCTGTTAGCATAAGAGAGCGTGCATGGCGGGCTAGTTCTAAAAACGTTTGTATTTACATTATTTAAAGCAATTTCAATGTCATTTATTTCATAGTTTAAAACTAGATTAAAACTAGATTAAAAAGAGTTTTATCAAAACTGTAGTAGCATTACATATACACATTCGATGATTTACTTCAGTGAAGTATCTTTAAAACGGAAACTGTCTGGTGCGGAAATGATGGATCTTAAACGACTAAAGGAAAGATTGGAAGGGGTAGATACAAATTGCACTATTACTTCTTTCTATACAAAAACTGTTGTCTCATCAACTCTGTTAGCACTGCCTCTACTATTAAGAATACGTCTTTTGTTAATCTTGCAACTACCACTACTACTAAATCTTTTTAGCAGAGAGGTTGTAGTAGTAAACACTACTACAACCTCTCGCGGTTTTGACTTAAGACTTTTATCTCTTGTTGATGCTGTCAATACTGCTACTAATTCTTCCTCTGTTGATCTGCAGTTACTTTGGCAATCTTAAGTTTGCTATAATATTTTATAAAGGTCTTACACTATAAATTTTTTTTTTTCAAAATCAAACTTCGTTTACCGTTTCTTATTTCCTTTAATTTTCCGCATTACGTGCTCATTCAAATAATACGCATTTGACATCTTAAAGTAAATTTATGGAACCCCTAAAAACATACTATATCGCTCTATACATAAGAAATAAGTATTTCTAAAGAATCTTGAAAAGTTTTATTGTTAAGAGACAGATTGCTTGTGCCTCTCCTTTTATATATATATATATATATATATATATATATATATATATATATATATATATATATATATATATATATATATATATATATATATATATATATATATATATATATATATATATATATATATATATATATATATATATATATATATATATATATGTATATATATATCAATTTGAGGGGGTTACAAAATTTATAAGGTCATAATATTTGAACGCTGAATATAAATTTATTTGAGAATAGTTACAAAAATATTTTATCGACTTGTTGCTCTGACGTTTAGGACAGTTGTGGCCAAAATTTTAAGACTTTTTTGTTCCCAGGCTCCAATCATTTTTTGTAAAGCAATTTTTTGTAAAGCGTCTTTATTTAACATAAGTATTAATCTGTCAATATTTTCAGTTTGTTCCGTGTCTGAAAGTGACCTCAAACATCAAAAAATGCTGGATCCACTCCTGCTAACGGTCAGGTTATGCATATCACGTAGAATTTATATAAAGGAGTTTATTAATGATAAAAAATAGATAATAAAACATCCCTCCTCTGCTTACTAGATGGTCTGAATCCGCTCCTGTTTTCTGTGTTATTTTATGTATTTAAGTATCATACTTTATGTATTTAAATATTACGTATAATTTATATATTGAAATTTTATGAGGTTTTTAAATTACGAGCGGTTTCTTTCCACGTTCTTCGTATCTTTCCACGTTCTTCGTATAAAATCAAATTCTTTTATATTTATTTAATCTCTCTTCTTGTGTAGCGATTTTTTTTATTTTTGACAATTTTATTGTAAAATGATTTACCGAAATGTGTAAGAAAATAATAAAAGAGCAAAAAAAAAACTTTCCTTATAAAATTCCAGCTTGCAATCTTTTATTAAGGAAACTCATAGCATGGTGAAAAAAATTCAGCTCATGTTGGCATGTAGTAACAATTTTTTGAAGACTTTGAAGGAATCCGCTTTCTTTTCATCTAATTAACAAAGCATTTGTGTAAATAAATAGAAAAACAGGAACTTTGAATACCGAATAACTTTTCAAACTGTTTATCTATCTAATTATCTGTGCAGTTGCAGACTTAACCAAGTTCTTTTCTAAAATCTCAATTTCTGCGTGGGTGTTGTTAAATCGTAAGTATTTTCTCTGCTGAAAGAGATTTGTAGTGTTACTTATAAAATGAAATTTTTTCATTGAATATGTTTTTCATTATGAATATACTTTTAAGCTAAAATTTGCTCAACTAAATATAAATAGTCAAGTGAAATTTACAGAAAAGTATGCACTTTTTTGCTGAAGCAAGGTAGGTCTCCAAGTCTTTTTTTTTATGTAATGAAAAAGTATTTGGAAGACGGGTACATAATCCACCCTATCATAAGAACTATAATGGCTAAATACTGTCCCAACTGATAATTGGATAAATCCTGTCCCAACCATTACTGTCAGTTAATACATGTACATTTTGATCTAGCAATCTATATCGGTCAGTGTATGTTCAATAAACTGTTAACTTTAGTTAATCAGTAAAATATTTAATAAGACGTATTCGATATTGAAGAGGATAGGGGTGGGAGAGTAGGTGGAAGAATACAAGTCCGCCAAACATTTTACTCACTTACAATAATTTTTTTCAGGAAAGTTCAACTTTAGAGCATCTTAAACATTTTTAGAAAGTTTAACTTTAGAACACCTTAAAAATTTCTAAAAAGTTCAACTTTAGAACACTTCAAACATTCTAAAATGTTGAACCTTTGAACACTTCCAACATTAATCAATGGTTATCACTCTACGCAAACAAAACAACGCATATTTGTGTTAGTAAAACAACGTTTTTTTGACTCATTTCAATGCGTAATTATCTCTATCTTACAGTTAGGTTAGTTTATGCAAATTACGTTGAACCGACTGTAAAACAAATGCACTACTTAGTGGGCACGGGACCTAAACAAAAATTTTTTTGAACGTTAGAAAGACGTTTGAAACATTTAAAAGGCTTTAAAATACGCCTTTTTTACGTCCTGTGTCCACTGGGTAGCGTAAACTAAGCAAAAAGGCGGTTGATTCTCTTGTTCAGTAGCTCTAAATAATGTAAAATCCAGTAGGATCAACGATGCACGCTGCTCGGATAAAGGTGATCAAATAAAGGTATAAATAGTGCCTATTGCTTAAAAATACTTCAAAATAACGTTCTGGAGACTGATGTGAGTGGCTTTATCAAAAAGAAACTTGTCACGGATAAATTGAATGAGGTTGATTTTCTATTTTCTATGTTCAATCAATTTGTTAAATTTGTTAGACTGCCATATTGTTTCGTGAACTTTGTGCAAAGTTCAATTTGTTAACAAATTTATGTATATTTTATTACATGAAAATATAAAAATGGAGTTAGCAGAATTATCGCTATTTATAAATTACCACATTCTTCCACGCAGGTTGTGTACTTTCCTTATTTATTGTCAAACCTATGAATACATTATTTCTCAAGATGGATTTTTTTTTATTCATTATATATATTGATAAATAAAATTTTAAATCACCAAACATCAGAACAAATGTAAAAACTTTTTTTTTTTTTTGCTATGATTAAAAACAAAGAAATATAAACTTTAATTACAATATGCTTACAGTATGCTTCTAAAAACGATAGCGATCAAAATAATGAAAATTTAAATAACACATTTAAAAATTACTTTAATAAAAAATGTGTCCAATAAAAACATAAAAATACTTATAAAGCGATTTTCTTATAAATACAAAAAATTATATAATTTTTTGTATATATATATATATATATATATATATATATATATATATATATATATATATATATATATATATATATATATATATATATATATATATATATATATATATATATAAAATATATATATTAGAATAATGGACCATTTAAGATTTTTTGAAAGATTTATTTTATTTTATTATAAAAATACTCTATGCAAAAATTTAGGTCAAAATAATAATATTTAGAGGGGGCGAAATTGAAAAAATATACATTTTAAAAACTTGAGTAAAATCATTTTTATGAGTTTATTTCTTCACAATTACTAATAATAGATCAACAGGATTGTAGACTAACCTTTGCTTTTTGTTTTATATTGCTTAGTTTGAGCCAGAAGGATGACAAGATTCAATTAGGGTCAACCCTTTATATTAAAAAAAAGTACCATTTTAAAAAATTTAAGTATGATTATACTATGATTATACCATGTTTTATGTGTTTGAATTTTTCTGATTTTTTGTTATTACTTGCTGTTCAATAATTGTGATTAAAAATGGAAAAAAGAAGTACAACAGGTACTAAGCTGATGGGTCAACAAATAGGTTATTTAGATCAAACTTATCAACCTTATAACTTATAACTTATTATTAATATAAGATTTCTTTTTATTGATGCATTATAAAAATTTCTGCAAAGTAACTGACAGAGAAACATTAACTTCTACTGTTAATATTAGAGATGTGGAAGAGAGCAGGATTACTAACCTCCCTGAAATGAGTTTTATAATGCGATTGTGAAGAAATTATATAAACTGTATATTCAATGGAAATTGGTAAAGAAAAGCAAAGGAAAATAATCAAGTTCTCTTTAGAGAATACATAGAATACATGGAAAGAAAAGTTAGATACACTCTTTGATATAGCGCATGCAAATGCAAATGAGTTAATAACTATTGAGAAAGATAGAGATTTTCTAAAGATACAAAGAGAAAATTAAAGAGAAAAAGTGATGGGAGTTGATAAGAATGAAGAAAAACTTTGAATCGAAATGGAAAAGAAACAGCAAAAAATGTATATGAAAAGATCACGTGGATCCTACTCGTTAGATGAAACAGTAGTTCTTGCAAGCAGCAGCAGCTCCTGCAATAATTCACCTGCATCTACAGAAGAAAAATAAACCTTGAACAAGAATCAACATTGAAAAGAGGCACTTCAAGAAAAAATTAAGATTATGGGCGGAAACTTGTTTTCTTCATTGAATGTTGCTAAGATCAGTGTCCGATTAGCCTCTTTAATAATGATTCCAACAATTGCAAATCTAGGAAAAGATCCAGATAATTACAATGTGAGCTAATAATCGATAGGAAGGGCAAGACAAAAATCAAGAAAGAATTTCAGTGAAAGTTTGAAAGAGACTTTTAAAACTGACAAATCATTTTTTGTTTATTGGGACGACAAACTACCTGAAGACATTGTTGGCAATGAGATATTGTGATATTGTGCTTTTGTACAACTTCATGCACAGATATTGTGCTTTTGCACAACTTTATCAAATACCGGTCATAAAAACGGAGCTTGTACCTTACTTGTACAAAATATAAAAAAAGATTTGTTATGGTGTTCTTGTCAACATTATATCCTTGAAATTGTGTTGGAAGCAGTGGTGTCCACAGCATTGTTAGCTTTATCAGGCCCTGACATTTAAAAGATTTAAAAAAAACTGGAATAATATCAATCAAACTTCATTCAAAAAAATTTACAACTATCCACAAAGAGAAAAAGAAGAAATCATACAATATGCAGTAAAAAAACTCCATGAAGATCAACCTTATGACAATTACAAAGAACTATTGGAAGTTTTACTTATATTGCTTAGGGATACTCCAAAATCTAGAATTAAATTCAGAAAGTCTGGGGTTTATCACAGAACACGGATTTTTATGGAATAAATCCATTCCATAAAAATCCGGATGTTCAAAAATCAGTTTAAAATAACAGCTATTGACGAAATAAAAACTAAAAGAAATGCGTCTGTTTTCTGTTGCAGCATAAATTAAGCATAGGTTCTTAGCTTCCTGCGCAGTAAGTGCTCCACAAAATGATCTTAGTGTTCTCAAGATGGCAGCTACAAAAGTATACTTTAGTATACTTCCACAATGAAAAAGTATGCTGTACCTCCCAAGTGTCAAGAAAATCTGCAAGTTTTCAAAATACAATTTTACTCAAATTTTTGAAATTCTACAATTTTCTCATAGCTGGCGACATTAATGTTATTTTTTTGAGCTATTTTAAAGTGCTAATATTATCATGTAATATTAACACTTTTGTTTAAATATCTTAGTAAATCGTTCCCTAAAAATTGTTTAAAAATATTCCAATTTTTGCTCAAGATGCTCATTATACCATGATCTACCATAAATGTTGCTAATTTTTATTCATATACTCCCTTTGAAAGACGTTTATTTTATAAAAAAAGGTTATAATAATAATAAATTACTTTTATAGTGAATATTTCGTAAATAAAATTATTTCGTAAAAACCTTGGGACAAGTTTTAAACTTTGTTTAATAGATTCAAACGCATCTGTTTGAAGCATCTGTTTTTTTTTTTTTTTTTTTAATGTAAGCATATATTAATTTATTATAGATAGACAGATAAAAGTATACTGTTCAACATATGGATGTTTTGATATCAGCGTATTCTGCGTGTGTCCTTGCAATTATCATTTTATCAACTTTACTAAATGCACTTTTAATCTATATAATTATTTACAAGATCAAAGTGACTAAGTTGCCGCACGTTTTTATTCTAAGCATTTCAATTTCCGACGTAATTCATACTTTAATTGGTTATACAGCAGAGGTTTGGGTGTTACATGAAGTATACTCTTTGAAAAAGAGTTTTATTTGCATTGGAGCTTCTTTCCTAATGGTTTTTATTACAGTGTCGAATATTTTACAAACTGTTATAATATCAATCATGAAAGTAATTGCAATAAGGTGGCCCTTTTTTTACATTATATATTGTAAAACGATAAAGATGAAAATATTATTATTGTTTTTTTGTTATTTTTATGGATTTTTATGGCCTTTTATTCCGTTATTTGGATGGTCAAAGTATGAATTAGACTTGGATAAAATGCGATGTTCGTTTGATTGGAAATTGATACATTCGGGTTCATTGTCATATCTAATAGTTTTACTTTCATTTTGCTATATTTTACCTATCGTTGCATTGGTTTTTGCCTACATTGCAATAAAGAAAACAGTTTCCGATCGCTGCACTGTTAAACGAGCTCAACTAGGTAAAAATAGAGGTATACAAGAAATGTTTTACTTAAAGTTAGCGTTATGGTCTGCGATTTTATACTTTATAATTTGGACCCCATATGCTGGTGCCAGTTTACTTTCAGTTTTCAAAATAAAATCTCCAAATGTTATATATACCCTCTGCGCATTATTTTCTAAACTATCAGCAGTATCAAATGCATTGATGAACTGTTATTTTAATAAATATTTTCGAAATCATCTTAAAAAAATCAAACTTTTTCAATACTTTATAAAATGGAACAGAAGAAGTAACGATAAAGTATTATAAAGTATTATTATAATTTCTCTGACAATGATTTATTTGACATTAAATAAAATTTTTTTATTAGTATGTATATTTTTTTAAAGCTTTGAAAAATAAGCAAACAAAGATGTACCTTAAAACTATATATACATATACTAGCACTCGGACCCGTAAAAAACAGGTAAGTCTATTCTACACCAACCGTTTCTACACTTAAACCTTACTTCAGTATTTTTTAATAAACAGTAGAAAGACTATACATATTGTCTACATTTTAAAGTTATAAATAAAAAAATAGTTTATAACATAACTTTAAAAAATTTTAAACGCTTCGGTCGTCGTTGCGCGACCCGCTATTTAGTGATTGAAAACAAAAATCTGTCAAACCTTTATTTGGAATTTATAATTAATGTTCAATACGTTATGGGTGAAGCGAACTTGAGTGAAGTTCGACTTAAACTTTGAACTCTGTCTTTGTTAAGGCAGACTTCAAAAAAAGCTAGAGAAAATGCGTAAACGAAATTTGAAAATTTCAAGATCGCTCTTGAAATTTTCAAGAGCGATCTTGAAATTTTCAAAAAGCGTTGATTTGAAGGCGGAATCGGAAAATAAAATTGCAATTAATAGCGGCAGAGTATTTGAAAAGGGAAAATCTTCTAAGTAAAGCAAATTAGTTATATATTTTTAAATAATATTTCTGAGTTTTATACTTTAAAGTATTAGCTTACAAAATTAAGTTAAAAGGTGTTACAAAAATAATAATTTTAATTTTGTATTTTTATTAAAACTTGGTAATTTAATAAAAAACACTGGATTTAAATAAACGTGCTCGTGTTGCCTTTTACCTAGTCTAAAGCTCTAATTACGACTTAACAGCTGATTAACATTCAAATAACATAAATGCTACGCGATTATCAGCAAAGCATATAAGGTTTTTTCTTGTTGAAATTTTTATTAAAAAAAAAAAAAATTTAAACACCAACAAGACTGCAAGCAAACACTAATTACGTTTGGAGTTAGCAGGAAGTTAATTAAAAAATGACAACAGTTTTCAATACCAGGAAGAATATAATATTTATAGAGATGAGGACAAAATCAGTAAAAGAAAATGGTTAACACAAGTTAGATTATATCTAATATACAACAGAACCTATTTTTGTTATAACGGTTAACAACTCAGCAATAGAACAATAAGATCAAAAACTTTATAGATCAGGGGAGGATCCAACATTTTATGGTCTTTGTAATAGCTAACCTCTGGACACGTAGCAAACTCCAAAAAATTATATGTTTAAACTTATGTCAAATAAGGATATTTTGAAAAAAATTGCCCGGTATAAAAATGCCACTGTCATAATATGTCCAACAGTAGCTACATTATATACTCAAGCCCTTAATGATGATGAGACATGGAGTTACTTAAGAAAAGGTGTTCCTAGTATAATTTTACACCACAAATGCGCTCAGTTTGAGCTGACTTGTATTATTGAAATGACAGGAAAAGTGTGGCTATTTGATTCAATATATAAATTAAAGAAAATTTTTTTTATATTTATTAAGTTTATAATATAAACAATTAATTTCAGCTAAATAAACCTATTTATTTTTTGAATTCAAGTAAAGAGAGAAAATAAAGATTAGTGAAACTGACCTTATCAAACTCTAATATCCTAACTAGAGATAACATTTTGCGTAAATAGCCACAAAATCATTTAATTCTATTTAAAAAATTTATGAAATGCAATTTTAGAATTATAATTATTAAAGCTTCAAAAAACTTAAGATTATAAGTACATATTAAGGATAAAACTATTGATATAAAACAAACTTAACTTTCTTTCTTGCTCTTTACATATAGCATTTTGCAATATCAGTATTAATATATACCAAATGACCAAATGAGTCACTGAAGTTCATATTTGAAGTAAGGTCATTTGATATTATCAGAAAACTTGAGGTACCAGAACAGCCAAAAAAAAAAAAAAAGTGTTATGACATAAAAAATAATTTACAAAAATAATGACAATGTTACATATTAATACATTAATTTTAATAAACACAATTTTAAGGATTATTTTGTTAGAAAATTTCTATGTTTTTGAATTTTTATTTCACAAGATAATACTTTTTTTTTTCAGATTGAGTTCTTTATTTACTTTATAAATAAAAAAAGATTTTTTTTCTACATATTTTTCGATTATTTTTTGCTTTTATTCTTTGATAAGTTAAATAATCATAAAAAGAATCGTGTCATTGTTTTAATTTCTTCTACAAAACCTCTCGTAGATGCTTTGGAACTATTTCCCTCATTATAATTTTACATTTAATCAAATACCTAAAGATCATTTTGTTAAAAGGCAATGTTGTAAAGTAAATCATGATACAATAATGTTTTTTGTAAGGTGATATTGCAAACAAATTCCAAAACAATATTTCTTTGTCACTCCTGTGATGATAATATGGGGTTTTGTTCCTTATAATATGGAGGTGATAATGAGCTTCAAAAACCTGTTTAATGGCTGAGTTGGTCAAATATCGTGATCCTTGAACACATCTAGTTTATAGAACACAGGCAAACAAATTTATTTTGAAGGACCTTTTGAAAAAAAATTTATTTTTAATTACTTGGCATTTCAAAAAAAATATCCTTTTCTGTTTTGATACAATTCTGCATTTTCTCCCTTAAGACTTGTTGTAGAATATGCTCTATCTATTGTTTCAATATATCTTGGAACAATAAATCCTCAAAGTTCGTAAAATATAAAAAATTTGAAAAAAACTGTTTATATATAAATAAAACTTTAATTTCATAAAAAGAAGCAGTAGCTGATAAATATCCTCTATAGTATACACACACACACACACACACACACACACACATACACACACACACACACACACACACACACACACACACACACACACACACATATATATCTATCCAAAATTTCTCTTCAGCACAAAATGTGTAAATATTCTAATAAATAACACAACTTTTTTAATTTTTGTTCAAATCATTTATTTTATAATACATGTTTCGACTTAATAATAGCCATCATCAGTTATAATATATTAAATTGCTTAAATCAAATTAATAAAATTAAGTTGAACTAATAGAGACCTTATAATAAAAAATACAGTAAAAATGCGATTAGAAAAGTAGCAAATTATAATTTTATATAATTTTAAAAAATTAATATCTAAATCTGCTTTGCATAACTTTAATTGTAATTTTTCTAGTTTTCTAAAGTCACTTTTCGAAAATTGCTTGTAATTTTGTCCTATCTCATTTATTATATTATTATGAATATAATAAATGACACAAGTACAAGCAATGTTCGAAAAGTGACTTTAGAAAACTAGAAAAATTACAATTAAAGTTGTGCAAAGCTGATTTAAATATTAATTTTTTAAATAATTGCAAAAAGTTTAGAGTTTTGCCGAAGTTTATTTGTTTTAATTTACCGCGCGTATCAAAATTGGACACTCGTCTTATAAAATTGTTGTTTCTTCTTGTTGCGTTTTACTATTGCACTTCATATTGCGTTTTACTATTGCACTTCATATTGCGTTTTACTATTGCACTTCATATTGCGTTTTACTATTGCACTTCATATTGCGTTTTACTATTGCACTTCAGAGTAATCTTTACTCTGAAGTGCAACAATAAAACGCAACAAGGAGAAACATCAATTTTATAATGAGATTATTTTAATTGCAAGCTAATTTGAAATGTCACCTATCTAATGTTGATTGGTTTATTTTAACAAAAGCTTTGAAAAATAACATCGAAAAAGAAATTTTTTTTTTTGAAAATACACGAAAAAAAAAATAAACAAATGGTCATAGTTTACCTTTTAATAATTTAGATATTATTAAGAATCTATCTTTATTTAAGCTTTCAGAAGACGAATTAGACCTCCTTAAAAATGGACTGAACTTCTCTATTACACCACAGGACCTTAAAAGATCCGATATATATTCTTCATTCGAACTCATAAACCAATACCTTCAGAATAATTTGAAAAATAGTAATAATTCCAGGCAACAAAAAGCTGAACTTTCTTATCTCGCTAATTTCTATATATATAAATATAAAACTCTAAAAAGGTATGGAATTCTGAAAAAATTATGTCAAAATCCAGACATCGTTATTTTAAAACTAGATAAAGGAAATGGTGTGGCTTTTCTAAATAAAAAAATTTATGACAACGGTCTATACAAAATCATTAATGATTCATCCAAATTTAAAAAAATTAAAAATAATGTTACTATCACCAGAGAAACACAACTTCAAAACTTTTTGAGGAAACTCAAGAAAAATGGTTTCTTTGATGAATCCAACTATAATAAAATATATCCTTCAGGCGTGCAGCCCGCATCTATGGTCTTCCAAAATTATATAAGATGATTTCTTCTGACGATAATATAAGTTTCAGACCTATCGTATCATCCATTAGTACTTATAATTATTAATTAGCTAAATTTCTTAGAGAACTACTTTCTACACTAATACCTTCAGATTTTTGCACTAAAGATTCTTTCATTTTTTTAATGAAGTAAGCCAAGCTAGCCTTCATAAACATTTCTTAGTATCTTACGATATTACAAGTTTATACACCTATATTCCACTATAAGAAACAATAGATTTATTATTACGGCAATATCGATATTGCCGTCAATAGCATTATAAATAGTAAAGCTAATCTTAAAATTAGTAAAAGTGACTATGGGTTCTCCCTTAGGACCTGTTCTTGCTAATCTTTTCATGGGAAATTTTGAACATAAATGGCTCGAATCATATAACGGAGAAAAACCAGCTTTTCATAAACGGTACATAGATGGCATTTTTGCTGCTTTCTTTCTGAAAATTTCTGAAAATCACGCCGATTTATTGTTGGAATATATCAATAATAAACATAGTTCTAAATAAAACAAACAATTCCACAATTACCACTGTTTTTTATAAAAAAACTTTATCGGGACTCTACACAAATTTTTTTAGTTTTACTTCATTTCTTACA